CTACACCCATCTGCTTTATTTGAAGACCTACCAACCATCAGCACTTTACAGGGCCACCTTTATTATAATCTGTCGTATGCATAGGAGTAAAATTGATTTCCCCTGAGAAACAAACTCTGGGGCAGGGAGATTATAATCTCTGTGTTCCAGTACCTAGGCTGGAGTTCAGCATCCTCTGGCCCTTTCATTAATACCTAGTAGTATCTTGTTGTGATTGCAAATGCATACCAATCATTCTTGCATCTCCTCTGCAGATAAAATGGCTATATTTGTTCAATAAGCAGTTCCCCCAGTTAATTCAGTAAAAGGAAATAAAAGCCCTTCTGCATGTATTCCGGGTCTGTTCATTTTGGAAGTCTTTTTAAATGCTTCCAAACATGTCATTTTCCTACATTAAGCAAGCTCGGTCCACAAAGAAGAAATGGGAAGAGCAGCCTACACCAAGATCAACCAAGAATAAAGGCACATTCTGTAGAAGGCTCCCCTCCCTTTACTTTCTTGTGCAAGGAGAACCATGATAAATTAAGGACTCCCACTCTAGGGATAAACGGCCTCCCTGCTGCTGAGCTCCCTATCACCTTTGGCATTCGCGGTTCTTCATATCCCTAAGAGCCCGTTGACAACGCCCAGGCTTTTGAACCTCACAGGACTGGCACAGTGGCTTCAGATGCTAGCCAAAGGAGTGCTGGGGGCCTCCCACACACCAGTCCCAGATGCCACATCTGCTCTTCTACCGACTGCTGGCATCTGCATCCCTTATTATGCCAACAGTGCCATGTGGTCACATTTGTCCGTTTTCTGTAATTCAATTACCCAGTGAGTGCATTCCCTTTGTCTGAAACTCAATCACCCAAGATGCAACTGATCTTAATACCAAAATGCCCCAGTGTAGATTCCAATATGGGAGTGTGGTGATCAGCAATGTTTGTACTGATTCTGAAAATCAATGTGCACTGAAAATTTATGTTTATGAGACATTTTTCAGGAACACTGAGAGCCTAGGAGCAATGGGTGATTAATTCTCGCAGAGCAAATGCAGGGAGGGCTTTGTCACTAAATGAATTCATCAAAATGTTTACTGAGCAATGTAAAGATGAGACACACCAATATTCTCAGAAAAACTGCAGCTTGATTTTTGAACCACATACAGCAGAAAGAGGTATACAAGTAGAAAAAATATAAATTCAGTTAACACTAATAGATGGTTTATTGGAAACCCTTATAGTGTTTTCCAAAAGGACAACAGATTTTATTTTAATAAGACGGTGGAGAGGAAGTGGTTCAAAAGATGTCATCAATCTTTTATTTAACTAAACACTGCCCTTCATTTTGAAGGAAATGATACAATTTCAAATCGGAACCTCCTTCTCAAGAAGTGGTATGAGAACATAACATTGATTTAACATACATTCTTCAACAAAAATACAGTTTACACAATTCACTAGGAAATAAAATATACATAGAATTTACTGTGTTAGTTAATGTAATTCTCCAGGGTTCACAAGAATTATAGCTAACAAAACATAGTGAAAATTTGAATAAACCAGTCAAGTTTGTAGTTACCATGATTTAAAAAAAAATTTTTTTTCACAAATAAAATGTAACTTTCCAAACAAAACCATTTGTTGACCATGATCGTAGATTTTATTCTAATGCATTTTTTTTTAAAATGGTTAGACAATCACATGATATCAAGAGTCTTCAACACAGTGGATTCCATTTTGTTAAGAAAAAAAATAGAAAACAAGTAGTCATTAATTTTTCTTCACTCTCCATAGCATATGTCGTATAAAATTAAAGTTTTGCTTCCAAAAATATGTTTCCATGTGGTTGTTGTGTTGTCTAGTGGTGCTCTTAGGGCCAGAAGCGCCGAAGACACGAGAAGTTGAACCACTGATGTGTAATTTTTCATAAAAACTAAAAATTTCCTTAAAGGTCTGGTGTCAAGTCTTCTGCTATAGGCATTTTAGTGCTATAAAGTCATTTTAAATTACATGTGGAATAAAAGCTACAAAAACCAAGAGTTCTTTTGATACAAAAAGTTGTGTAGCTGATGTGGGCTCCTTTGACATACATAAGCAGTCTCAATAAAATATTTGCTCAAATAAGAAAATAGAATTTGTTTTCATTACTTTTAGTATGTGTTCCAGTCTGGGGTCCTGCTTATCCCTGCCACAGCTTCTGAAGAACGTTAGAATTAATATTTCTTTCAAAGAACATACATAATTCACAGTACAAAATAGTTCTAAAGTCTTATTCCCAAGGAGAAACAAAAATTATTAAATATATATATATATTTTTAAAGTGCCAGATGTAGCCATAGCCTGGACATTGCAAACTCACTTATCCACAAGACTGCCACCTTGAGGAAAGAGCTGCGTGGACAGATGCCCCTTTCTTGGAGCCTCCATTGGTTGGTTGTTGCTTTAGAGCCTCAGAGAGCCCTAAGAAAACTTCCAATGGAATCATTCTTCGTATTACGTGCTTCATACCTCTGGTAGCCAGTAAAAATGCTTGCATGACATGGGAAAAGTCTCTGGAGTGGATGGATTTTCTCTTCTAGTTCATTTTCAAAAACCTCTTGTCTAGAGGCAGAATACTACTATTGGTGTGGATTTTCTGAGTTCTTCCTTCAGGTGGAGACTTCCCACAAAAAGCAGTTCCTTTGTAACAGTCACTGGTGTACCTACCTCCGTGGGACCAATGACATTCACTTTCTAATTGAGGGCAAAGGAGGCCCACAGAGATAGGGGAGCAGAAAAGCTAGCTGGCTAGCCAGCCCAGAGCTGCTAGACAGTGCTGTTCTGTTCTTCTCCACTCTTGCTGTCTGCACACTGGTCTTTCAACTACCATGTTAAGCATAAAAACAAAAAAACCCCATTATCTGTTAGATACGTGAGGCTCTCCTAAAATAAATATCTTTTACCTTGCTTGGCTTTTCCATGAACAAGAGAATATAAACACGAAGCTGAGAACTACACATGAAAACTAGATCTACATTTCCCACAGGTGACTGACATCTCCCCAAAGTCCCAGACTATGGCTGAGTGTGGTTCCTCTGTAGCAAAGGGATAGAACCTGCTTGGTGATCCTTGTGAGAACAGGGAACACAGCAAATGCCCCTAAAATTAAATTATTTCATACTGAGGTGCTACGACGGTCTAGGCTTTGAAAAATTATGGCATCAACTTCCAAGTTTGAAAAAAGTATACAAGGAAATCCTTCAAGTCTTGTTGCATGAGTTAGAAACCCCCAGGGAGAAGGCCCAAGGATGGCCACAGCTTAATATACAACACTCATATAGGATTCCATTCCAACTCTAAGAATTTGTTCACAAAAGGACTTGTTCAGTGTCATCTAAAATGACACCCAAGAGAAAGGAAAACCTCATGCAACTTTTGAGACGGCATTAGCAGTGCCAATCTACAGCAAAACAGCACTGTGAAATCGAGGGCACACATCATCCAAGTGCTCACCTGAATACAAGAGATGGGCTGTAAAAATTTCTAGAAGCCCCACAGTACAGCGAACAGGATCAGCGGCAGATCCCAAGAATACAGGCCAGCCTGCTGCCGACACATCTCACAACCACCAACCTGTGCCCTAGGACTGTCACCAGATTCGGTGCTGACTACACCAGGTGGCATTTAATTTGTGATGGCTGTCACCCCTCTTAATTGCAAAATCGCACTGAAAGGGGGAGGGGGCGTTCTCTAAGGAACAAAGACAAGGCTGCAATATAACAAGACTTTGCATCTTGATTAAATTGCATCAGGTGTGGCTAGCAAAACACCTTATCATGAATAGACCTCAAGCCTAAGATTTTATCACCGGCAGAACAAAAGTGAGTGAGGGGGATGGGGCAGTGAGGAGGCAAAAAAAAAAAATCCCAGGTCCACCACCGAAGCCTTACAGTTTACAAAAGGTTGCCTTCACTGTTCAGGAAGGGGGTTAGGTGATGAGTGGGAAATTAACTAATTTCTGCCAGGGCAACCCCATTTGACTGCTTCTGTAGTGGATACTTTATGGCGGGGGTGGCACCAGCGAACCCCGTGTGACCTGCAGATGAACACAGCCAAGCAGTTTTAATTAGATCAGAGACACAGAGGGCTTCCTTCCTTTGATAACAACGCGGCTCCAAGTGCCTACAAAAGCAGGCTAGAAACAAAGGCGGCAAGACAGAATCATAACTGAATCCCTCCCCTAGCTGGCCTGTGACAATGATTTACTCGGAACCTGGGAAGTGGTGGCTAGAGCAGGAGACTCTCCTAGAAGTCAGCTCCAGATGAATTACTTGGCGGTGGGGGTGGGCAGGGGGCGGTAGCAAAGTCTTTGTTGTGTAGCCCAAGTTTACCCAACTATTTATTATACTTCACAGGGGGCTGCTTGGTTGTGGTCTGCTGCTCCCAGACCTGAGCCTGGTCTCTCCAGCCTTAAACTCCAGGAATCCCCCAAAGTAAATCACCCGGCTTCCCATAGCCCACACTCCCACACACACCCCTCGGGGGTGGGGGTAGCAGATCTGCGGCTCTCGGTGCTGGCAGGGCGTCCCCACAAATCCTCTCAGGCCTCAGTACAGGGCACCCCGCAAGCCCAGGGAAGGAGGGGAAGCAGGAAGGGCGCAATGGCAGGCACTGGTACTCTGAACTTTCCTCCACCCCCGAGTGCGTAAAAGGGTCGATTTTGGACCCAGGTCCAGCAAGGATTAAGTTATCAAGCAAGTCCGCCATTTGGCCCACCTCGGAAAGGAAGACTGATCCAACGGGAGGGCAGGAAACGCCCTCGGCCAAAGTGCTCCTACCTGCTCTCTCTTCCTTCTCCGTCCAAGATAACAAACTTAAGCCACAGCTGGCTGCGCCATTTCGCCAACTCTCCTTTTTTCCAAATGGCCCTGGAGCCCAGATGGGGCCCGGAAGGTGCTGGAGGAGGGAGTGAGAGGAGGGAGGGGGCGGCGGCTGCTGCGAAAGCTCCCTCTCAAGACTCCGCACTCAGAGGGCCCCTCAGTGCACCGCCGCCTGGCGGGCCTCGTCCTCCCGGGCCGGCGCAGGGGGGCGCCCGGGAGGCCGCGTAGTCCGCGCCGAGTCGCTGTCGCCCTCGTCCGGCTCGGCGGGATGCAGGTGCGTGGCGAGCTCCTGCAGCACCGCCGCGCGCCCGATCTGGTCGTTGCGCCGCTTCTCCATGATCAGGTCCTCCAGGCTCTGGAACTCGAGCGTGTGGCTGCGCTGCGCCGAGAGCTGGATCTGCAGCCGGTAGGGCTGTTTGCCGATGCGCAGCTCGCCGCCAATCTTGAACTCGCGCTTGCCGTAGCGGCACCAGGCGGCGAAGCTCTCCGAGTTGCGCCAGCTCAGCTCGCGCTCCTTGGCGCCCACGTGTGCCAGCGCGTTGCGCACCACGGCCCCCGGGCTCAGCGGCTTGTAGCGGTACAGGTCGTTCACCACGCGGCCGCGCCGGCCCTGGCTCGCGTCCGTCAGGAAGCTGTTGCTCACCTCCAGCCGGTGCAAGTGCACCACCTGGAAGTTGCCCACGTATACAGCCCAGTGCGGGTACTGCGCCTGCGACACAAACTCCACCAGGTCGCCAGGCCTGCACTTGTTGAGCAGGTTCTCGGGCGTGTAGGTGCTCAGTGCCGCGGAGCCCGGCGCGAAGCTCTTCTGGTATATGCACTCGTCGCGGTAGAACACGGAACACTCCACCTCGTGCAGCCGCGGGTCGTAGGGCTGCGGCGGCGGCAGTGGCGGCCCGTCCCCGCCGTCGGGCAAGCCGTCGCCGCCGCCACCATCCGGCCCCTGGGGCGGCGGCTGCGGCTCCACGTCCTCGTCGTCGTTGGAGAAGATGTAGGAGACCCCGATGCGGGGCCCGTCGTCCCGGTCAACGCCAGTCGGGTCGGCCGTGGGAACTTCCTTATAACTTAGGTGGGTCAGTTTCTCCACCTGGTTACCCATCACGCTGCGGATACACGTTCACACAGCCGAGAGGGGAGAAAGCGAAACCACCACTAGGGTCATTGGCACGGGTCCCCGGGCAGGGGCGGACACCACCTGTTCGGAGAGGAAAGCAAGAAAGCCATGTAGGAGCCCCTCCATGAAAAGGACAATTTCTCAAGAGGAGGAGGAAGGGCTGGGGGCCGAGCGCCTGGAGCCATTTTACGGGGATAGCTCCGATCTCCACCTCTAGGGTCACGGTCGCAGGAGTCTGGGCAACTCTAGCTCTACCCCGCCCCCAGCACTTCACCTCGCCCGGGCAAACGCCCATTGCATCAGCAGCTCCAACCGCTTCCGCCGGCGCCCTACCTGCCAAGCCCAGGCAGGAGGAGGTAAAGAAGAGAAACTTTACTCCAATCCCCCTTTTCTTAACCCTTCTTTTACCCCAGGGCCCTAACTTAGCCCCTGAGACGGCCCCCAAGCCTCCAACCTCGGGGAAACCGGCGAGGATCCCGCAGCTCGGCCCGCGCAGGTGAGCCACCCTACCTGGCTCACCTGCGGCGCTTTCTCCTCCCGTCTCGCCCGCCCCTCCCCCGAGCGCTCGCCAGCCCTTAGGTTCGGGTTACCTGCGAAAACTCACCCACTGAGAGGTGGAGGCCTTGGGGAATTGGGAATTGGCCCCCCTGCCCCCAGCCGCACCTTGAGACTTCTAAGGTGAGTTTGCAGGTGTGGGATCCGCAATCGCTCCTCTCCAGGCGCCGGTGGCAGCGAGGCTGGGCAGCGGGGAGCGACGCATGTCTTGTCCCCGCGGCTACGTAGCGCCCCAAGACTTGAAGGTGGGGAGCAATGCCTGTTTACACCGCACCCCTCCCTCCTGCTGGGGCTGCGGCTCCCCCTCAGCCTGCTCTCGGGGGAGGTGGGGCGCGAGAAGGCGGAGAAGGAAGCAGCCTTGCTGCCCGGCGGCGGCAGCTCCCGCTCGGACCCGGCGAGCAACAAGCGCCGGAGCGGGAGGGACGGGATTGTAGATCCGGCTCCGGGCTCCCAGGGCGGGAGCGCAGCCCCTAGCATTTAAAGAGACAGACGCTTGCTCCCGGAGCCCAGGTCTTTCCCACACGGCGCAGAGCCTCCGGGATCCCCGCCCCCGCCCCGCCCACCCGGGCCACGGGGCTCCGCCCAAGCCACGCCCCCGCGTCGGAGCGGGTTTAAATCCAGCTGGTAAGTAATCACCCCGAGGGCTGGCTGACACTGAACGCTGATGTCTCCGTCGACCACTGGGAATCCCGCTTGCCTTCTTAGAGCAAGGGCTTGATGTGGGGGTCTTCGCTGCTTGCTCACTTCGTATTTTTCCGAGCTGACGGCTTTAAAGAGAAATTGGAAGGCATACGCCACCTGCCAGTGTAGAGATGAGAGAGGGAATAAGAGTTTTGGTGTTGTGTTTCCCCTTCGCCTCTTCTTGCCCGGAGACCTGGAGAGAAAGGAATAGTCATTAGGTAGTAAACAGACGTTTGCCTCTTCTTTTCTTTCCTAGAATGTATTTCTTGCCAAGGGTCACAGAAAAGAATTTTTTACTGGGACAGCTCAAGAAGCTTTTCAGTTTATTTCTAGAATGAATGCTGTGAAACTTCACGGTTGGAAAAAAAGTTCACAGGAAACAGTTATAAAACAGAACGAAGACTTAGTTCTGGCTTGCTTCCAAGCCCTGCGCTCTATTTTATTGCATGTCCCTGGAAGTTAGCACAAAGTAGATTTCATAACCTCTGTTATTTCGAGAGTTACCAGGTCATCCGGTAGTTAGAGAAAGCATTTGCTCTCGTTGTTTTCCTTGGGGATAGGGGATGTAGGAATTGTCTAATTGTCCTTAAATGAAGAACAAATGAGCAGAGGCTCCTGGTGGATGTATTTCCTTCTTGCTGACTTACAGAAGGAAGTGACAGGAGAGGAGTATTCCTATTAACCTCCACCGCAAGGAGACACTTGCTCCCCCCATACTGATTTTGCTTTTTGTTTTTTGTATTTGCGTGTGTGTTTTGTTTTTCCTTTTGTTTTATTCCCTACCTAAGATGCAGGTTACCAAACTGTTCTTTGTCTTTTAAAAAAATAATAGATTGGAGTGGGGGTGGAGTGCTGTTAATAGACAAACTTAGGCACTCAGTGGAACACCAGACTGATCCGTAGTGGAATCAAGAATGCAACTTAAGACCTTTTCCACCCTGTTTTCCATCACTGTTTCTTTTACCTAAATTTTTCCAGGTAACACTATTATTTATTCAGTATGCATACCAACCAGTTGAAACAGGAATATACTAACACTACTGCAATCCTTTTTAGTTTGAGAGAGAGAGAAAAAAAAAAAATCAATCTACTTAGGTACTTTTGAGCCCGAACAATCAATATTGGCATGGCTGTGATGGAAGTTAGTCCTTCAGCAAGTCCAAGATCACAGTATAAGTTAGGCCAAAAAGAGACTTTTGTGTGCCTGCTGTGCAGATTAAATTAAAATATTTTCTACACAGCCTCAGGCACGTGCTCTGAGGTGTTGCTGTTACCTGAATGCTCTGTGTCATCACCATGTGAGCTCATGGAGGTACCCATTTTACAGGGACGAGTTAGGCTTACAGAGGCAATGGCGAGTCATCCCATGTCTGTTAGCCTGAGAAACCTCTGCTAGGGTCAGCAGCGGTAGGCCACTTTGCCCCAGCTGGTACTGGGTAGGTTGGCTGGGGATGGGAGAATGCATAGAAGGACACAGAGGTGGGACAGTTGGCTTCCAGCACTCTGGGACAAAGATCTAATGAGTAGGAAGCAACACCTAGTTGTCTATCTAGGTGCCTGTCTCCTTGTCTGGAGGAGCTGTGTTCAGGTATGTGGTGATCGTGGCTCAACAACATTTCTTGAATTAAGCACATAGAAAGTCTTAGAGGAAACAGGTTCTGAGTCATTTTTGTATCCCAGTGCTTGGCAGTTAGTAAGTGCTCAATAAGTGCTTGATGGAGGCTTTAGCAGAATTCTTGGCCATATTGATAGTCTGCCTCCCGTGTAGCTTCTTCCATTGATTCCTGATTAGGGCCCAACCTCCATCCGGTCACCCGGGGCTCTTGGTCAGAGGCTATATAAGTGCTCTCAGATGTTCTTTTCTCATCTCAAATAATTGTTTAATGAATTTAAAGTTAAATTAGCTGTCAACAATCTGGAGACTTGAGAAATCTCATGTTTAGATTTCCAACTTTACTCGAAAAAGCTAGAGCTATGTGAGCCCATCAGGCCCACATTCCATGATGGCAACAAAAAGCTAGAACTAAGCGATCATTGCCTTGGAGATGAGATGTACTCTCCAGCTGGCCCCCATCCCATCCTACCCACCTCAACTACCCTAGTTCCTTGGCTGGCCTGGGGAACCTCTGTGTTGGCCATCTCTGCCATTCAAGTTCTATAACACATTGTATCACTTGATTATATATAATTCAGCACTTGATCCTATACCATCTGGTATTACTCTTTAATTCATGTATTTAAAATGTCTTTTCTAGAGAGAGCTTGATTCAAAACTTATTTCTTGAAGACGTACTAGATACCTACTTGTCTCATACACCACACATTCATTCTACAAATTCAGTAGGCAGCATGCTAGGTTTTATAGGTATTCATGTCCCCATGAGGCTCAGTGTAGTGGAAGAGAAAGAGAATAAGTAGACTTCTTAGGACAGTATGACATGTCCCGAAGGAAGGGGAAGTAGAGGGTGCCTAGGGGAAGTTTCAAGGCATGTGGACACAAGTGAATTCCAAAATGCCTGCCATCAGGAGTGTTGGACTCCTGAGGGTGACACAACTCTAGATTAATAATGACAACTAACAGTGAGCTCTTGATTCTATTATTCTGTTAAGTTTAGAGAGGCCAGGTGACTCCTCTCAGCTGACAAGTGGGGCGATCTCACAGGTCCCTTTGACTTCATCGACTTATTTGCCACCTGCCTCCTCCTATCAACATATAAATGCTGTAAGAGAAAGGACTTTGTCTACTGTGTTCTTGGCTTTAACTCTGGAGCCCAGTAAGAGCCGCAAAATTCAAGTATTTGCCAAATCTTAAAGACTGTGTTTGTCTCTACTTAAAAGGTAGGAAGCTTTGAGGTTTGAAGGTCCTCGAACTGGCTGCTCTTGGAAAATGGACTGGAAGGGATGGGAGAGGAAGCAGGTCCGGTAGAAGGCCAGGCTGCGGGAAGGAAGGCATTCCGCACAAATGGAGCCTGGTGGACAAAGGAAGAAGCCCGTGAAGGCACCATCCCCAAGGGCAGCCGCTCACTGGAGACATGTTCCCTGGATTGGGATTCTCGGCCACACTGTCGCTTCATCCCCTCAGCCAGGCCGTGACCCAAGTGTCACATCCCACACACCTCCTTGGAGGAGACACTCAATAAAAACAAGCTGTGTTGAATGCCAGTTAGTCACTCTCACAGTCTTCCTGTCCAAAGCAGTGGGGAATAATCGAGAATTGATATTTCTACCCAACAGGGCACTGGCCCTGACTGCAGGTGTAGTCGTTCAAATGGCTCACTCCAAGAATGTACAAAACCAGAGCACGAGGGCAGAATTATCTGATTAGGCAATCTGGAACTCTGCCTGTTCCCCGGGGTTGGGCCCCAGGCTCCCGGTGGCAGCAGATAGTGAGTGAATTTGCTGGAAAACAGGTTCCTCCACACCTCCTTATACTGGGAAACTCCCAGACTTACCTGTGCCTGTTCCCCACTGTTGGGGGTTTTGTTGAAACCATAGGAAGTGAGCCATAGCAGAATGGGAGCAGGTGATGTGGGCTGGTGTCCTGTTTGCCAGGTGCATGACCTTGGAGCCTCTCTTCTCCATCTGGTCCCCTTCCCCAGTCTCTAAAGTGGGGCTGATGATACTCCTTGTCTCACTTGCGAATCCTCCAGTGAGACAGCTTACATGGAAGCATCCTACAAACCCTAAAGCCTGTGGAGATGCCAGGTATTATTCACACAGCGGGTGTAAGAGCCAGATGATGATTTTAA